ATGCCCATTAGATATGAGTCTCAGTGGTGCGATGCTGCATCTTTGCCTGACTCCTGGAACGTATCCGAAGCAGAGTTCGTTTGATGGCTGCACCCTCGCAGAGGAGGTTTGCCACGACCTCTTGTGAAAACACGGGCATCGGGTAATCAGATCTACGCACACTGATCCATGTCCCTATCATAGCGCTCGCAGTTCAGCATGAAGGCATAAGAATACCAAAAGAAAACTCTGACCTGAGAACCCGGCGGGCCGGGGGACAAGAATGCTGAGGTTATTCTGAGTGTTCAAAGGCTCTTCAAGCTACGTCAGCTCCGGAACCCTTACAAGCCTTATATACACCTTTCACACTACATCCGGAATACTTGGACGAACCGGCCCATCTGCTTCTATCCTGAACCCTCGGATACATTCAAAAGCCAGGTCCCAACTTCAAACGCAGAGACTTTGTGAAGAAAGAGGATATGCGAGGGAAAGAGCTGGTAGCTAGTAACAGCTAGTACTACAGCGCGGAGACGTAAGCACGGCAGTCTCGACACTAAATCAAGCCTGGAATCTACTCAGACACTTGCCTGTTCAGGAGGCATTGATTTTCAATCTCCTCGGGCCTGCACGTCGCCCGGCGGAGCGTCGGCAGGTGCCTTTTCGGCGGTGTTTCGACTTCGAAAAACCACCTGCCCCTATCCACCATCTTTCGTACCCCGCAAGACCACCAGCCCCAACAATCTTGAAACCCCCGCTTGGTCTTTGATTTTGCTACTTACTCCCGTGTGTTACACGCCAAGCCGAAAGAGCTCAGGACTTCTTCAAAAGCAACGAGGCGGTTGCGAACCCAGAATTGTGTTGAAGAAATTTGAAAACTCTCACAAAAGCGGCATATCTCGATGTCAAGCTCCTTGAGTTCTGGGATTCTGGGTGTCAGACTCCAGAGTCCCCACAGAAAGCCGCAACATCGGACATCCCCCCCAGGTGCCTGGACGTCTCCTGGCGGAGCGTCCATGGGCGCCCCTTCCTCCGCCTCTGGGGCTTGGGCCTGGCAATCTCCGGCTTCGTAACTACTTGCCACTTTGCCATGTCCCCGTCCTACAGTCCTACAACAGAAAGGTCTGGAGCTCCAGCTGGTTCCAGAGAAGTCAATCCGACAACGCGCGGACGTTTTGTCTTAATCATTCTGACATGTGCTGGCGAGCTGCCAGTTCCCAATGCTGATGCTCGGTAAGCACAACCAAGAGGTTGACTCGTGGAAGCAGTGCCAAGTGAACTTCGCGCTTCTGCGTCCGCATCGCATCCAAGACGTCGACTGATCTAAAAGTTTAAAAGTACAAGCTGCCCAAATCCAGAATCATGCCCAAGACCAAAAAGTTCCAGGACTCTCAATCCCAAGCCACTCCAGCCATGAAGCCACAAAACTAACAGAGGCCAAAGCCGTCGCCCTTGAACGCACATTCGATGTCTAACAGTCTAACAATCCCTTGAGAGTTCAGCCTTTGCGGGGATTGGGGCTACGAGGCAATACAGTGTGGTCAAGCATCCAAGGATTCAATGCTATGGGCTATGGGTCAGAAGTGCAAACCTCGACAGAATTCAGACTTGCCATTGGGGTTCCAGCCACAACTTGAAAACCAATTAGCCCAGTACTCTTCCTGCCGGCAGCCTCTGCTCTTTCTGCTCTTCGACGTTTTCGACCCTCACCGTCACCTACCGCTCGAAGCGAGAAGAATGATGGGGTCTGGGGGTAGGTTTCTGTCGACAAAATACGCTGCGGGCAATGCTAGAGATATTGAAGTTACCTCGTCCTGACCACGGTAGTGCACAAGTTGACGAATTAGGCAGCATGCACAATTACTGCTCCCTTCTGGGAAGGCCAGAAGGGATTGGAAAAGTCAGTTGGTACATGCGTCGAACACACCAGGGCCCAGGACCAGACCTCCCAAGGCTTCCATACTCTATCTCTATCACTCGCAGAGATCTCAAGCGCTCTGCCTTCTTCGCCACGCCGGTGCCGATGTCTACGCCGCCTGCTAGGACAGCTGCATGTGGAGAACTGAGGGTTTGAATACCCTGCTTCCCGGATTTCGTGGCTCTGGCCCTCGTGTTGAACCGACTACTTGCGGCAGGCTCCTCCCGAAGCAAAAGTCTCATCTGCCTATGCCCTTCTCCCTCGGCACCGTCTGCGGGAGCGCCTCAGCACTTCGTCATTTCGGGGAAAGGTTGGAGGCACCCTTGGGAATCCAAAAGGTTGTTTCTGTGGAGGCGAAAGTCTGCGATAGGACTCCATGTAGATTGATGGCCATAAGGAAATAAGCCTCAAAGTTGTCAGATCAGGGAATTGGTGCAGCAGATCACAAAAACTTCTTCGTAGTGCAGTCACGAAACCCGTGTGCCAACAAAGCCCGATCCTGAAGCTCAAGTTAAGCCCAATACCCCAAGCCTCTGGAGTACAGGTCTCTACCCCTCAATGCCAATGCCTTACAGACCACACTTCAGTCACTGACCATCTGTGATCGCAGCTCCTGCCGCAGAGATGAGACAGAGACGAAGCAGAGTAAGCAGAGGATGATCTTCCGTCAGAAGCTCCCCAGCCCCAGTCAAAGATCAAAGGCCCCATGTCGCTCTCGTCGAAAACTTCAAATTGCAAAGCTGACGTCATGAGCAATGCTGCCAAAGAAGCCATGCGAACACCTGAATGTTGAAAGATGAAACCAGCTCGACATACTTGACTCAAACAGTCACAATCGGCGACAAACCTCCTGGCAACTTCAAGCATGGGAGTGTTGGCTTAAAGACTTTTGCCCGTACCGCAGACGGTGAAAGTGCTGCTTCGCTTCATGCCTCGCCGATGCCTGCGCAGGCGTCGACCGACGAGCATGGACATTTGATCAACTAACCTGTGGGTGATAACGGCTTGCGGCTTGTGTACTTTAAGTCACACACCGCCCAAAAGTCCTGGCGGCACACCAGGTGGTGGCCTCACCCACCGGGCAAGTACAGGAATGCAATTGCATTGAACGAGCCCGTAGCGAGTCGCGCCCTACTGCCAGGCTCGTTCATACCTGAAAAGCATTCCGAGCGCCGGACCCTTTGCCCTTCCCCTGGCAGAGACAGAGATTCGAGGGCGCGTGTTCTGCCGCTATGCGGTGTGGCGCAGCAGGTTCACATGCGAGACGCTTGCGCGGTCGTCTTTTGCCAGTCTCATCGCAATGCTGCCAACAACCTCGTCGTCGTTCTCATGGAATCTGGAACTGTAAATGATTTGCAGGGGCATCTTCTGCGGTTTTAACCGGAACCAACCCCGACAAGTCTACAGTATGCCATGTCTGCAGCTTTGCCTTGATGTTGGACCACAGCCATCCGAAATCCGAAACCATACACCTACGAGTGCTGCTTCGATCCAGGCTCTCGTGTTTCCCTGCTCGTGTTTGGGCAGCTTCGGGCCGGCCGGAACATGAGCTGCTCTTATCAATGCGACCCACCCACACACACACACACCCACACCCACACCCACCCCACACCCACCCCACCTTCCCCACCCCGCCCACGCCACCCACCACCCACCCCTCCCACCCCACCCACCCCACCCACCCCACCCACCCCACCCACCCCACCCACCCACCCACCCCACCCCACCCGCCCCACCTGCCCCACCCGCCCTCCCACCCACCCACGAACCCACCCCCACCCAACCCACACACCCACCCACGCACCCACGCACCCACCCACCCACCCACCCACACGCACGCACGCACGCACGCACCCACCCACCCACGCACCCACGCACCCACGCACCCACGCACACCCGCACACCCGCACACCCGCACACACGCACACACGCACACACGCACACACAGGCACACACAGGCACACACAGTCACACACAGTCACACACAGTCACACACAGTCACACACAGTCCCACACAGTCACACACAGTCACACACAGTCACACACAGTCACACACAGTCACACACAGTCACACACACTTACACACACTTACACACACACTTACACACTTACACACTTACACACTTACACACTTACACACTTACACACACACACACACACACACACACACCAACCCCCCACACTTACCCACACACACCAACCACACACACACACACAGGCACACACACGCACACACAGGCACACACACACACACACACATGCACACACACATGCACACACACACATGCACACACACACACACACACACACATGCACACACACACACACACACACACACACACACACACACACACACACACACACACACACACACACACACACACACACACACACACACACACGCACATGCACACACACACACACATGCACACACACACACACACACACACATGCACACAGACACAAGCACACAGACACACGCACACAGACACATGCACACAGACACACGCACACAGATACATGCACACAGACACATGCACGCAGACACATGCACACAGACACATGCACACAGACACATGCACACAGACACATGCACACAGACACACGCACACAGATACATGCACACAGACACATGCACGCAGACACATGCACACAGACACATGCACACAGACACATGCACACAGACACATGCACACAGACACATGCACACAGACACATGCACACAGACAAATGCACACAGACACATGCACACAGACACATGCACACAGACACATGCACACAGACACATGCACACAGACACATGCACATAGACACATGCACACAGACACATGCACACAGACACATGCACACAGACACATGCACACACATGCACACACATGCACACACATGCACACACATGCACACACATGCACACACATGCACACACATGCACACAGGCCTGCGGTGCTTCGGAACCTGCCTGATCTATACGTTCGCAGCAATCAGCAACCGCAATCCCCACAAGCCCAGCACCACAAGTTCATGGCACCTGGTACACTGTATGCCGCACGTCCCTGGTCTTCTCTCTTAGACCCCGCTCTGAAGACTCCACGCCCTCTAGTCTTCAACACGAACTTCTTGGCCTCCCTCTCTGCCCTCCCAGCCCAATGCATCCCAATGCCTTGCCACCAAACCAGTCGCCGGGAGGTGCCTCGAACGGCGGCCGACCTCCTTCAAAGACTGCAAACTAAGCTCGATTCAATCTCCAGTGCCCCCGATTGAATGAACTGGAAACGGTGACAGTTTAAGATTTCGAAGATGTCCGGAGAGGCTTTGGGACTTTGTTTGGCTGTGGCGAGGGTTTACCCACCTGGCATTCGGCATTCATGACTAAGGGGAGTCTCAAGGGGGTTTTGGCTCACCTGGCGATGTAGGAAGGTCGACACGGAAACCGGCCTCTATAGCCTCGAGCCACATCTCCAAGCCCTAAGGCCCAGTTGTCAAATCTCGCAGCACCTCCCTCGCAGCCAAGGAAACTCTACTCAAGTGATGTGCCTCCTCGGAAAGGGCGGGTAAAGCCAATGAGGGGAAACTCGGTGTTGGAGTTGCAAGTTGCGACTCCTAAAACCACGCTCCTTCGAAGGGCGGGCGCGCGTCGAACGGCCCAGGTGGCCTCGCGGAGGAAACCGCGGAACCGGGTAAGCTTGGGTTTCTCTTGTTCAAACCGCTGGGGCCTAAGGCCGAGGGGGGGTGGGCGATGGGCACAAGCTCGTTGAAGCCCTACAGCCCTAGAGGCCTACAGCCTTTCACAAGCAAGGCAGAGGGACTGGACCTGTCTGCCCCCTGCGGTCTGCACTGGGCACATTGGTCTTGCTGAGCCTTGCCATGCCCTGTGCAAGTATGGGCATCCGTGACCGTGCCTCTCGAACGGTGGCAGGTGGGGTGGCGGCCCACCCTCAAAGGGAGGTCGCGCCTGGGGACTCTGTGAGAAAGGAAAACATATAAGAACATCTTTTTTGCACTCCAGCCCGAGAGACACCATCCGAAATCAAACCCGAACCAACAGCCTAAAACCCCAAAACCCCACGCTGCACGACTGGCTCCAGGTCTCCAAAAGTTCACTTGGCGGACCAAATTAGTCTGTGCCTGGGCTCCTGACGCCTGGCGGCATATCGAAGGGCGGGCGCCGCGCATCCAACCTCAGCAGACCCAGGGCTTCAGAGACTTGGATGCTCTGGGATGGCTGGGATGGCGGTTCAAGAACCACCATGGAGCTAAATGTAGCTAAAGCCTAAAGCCCGAGTGAAGCACCATCCAGGCGGGGGCCGCTCGAAGGGAGGCCTCAACAAGACAGAACCTAGCGCCTAGCGGACTACTTCTCACGATCAGGATTCCCATAAGTTTCTCATGCAGTACCTGCCAGGATCTGAAGGTGGCTGTCAAGCCTGCTATGCATCTACAGCTGTCCACAGTCCCTACAGTAGACCCCTCAGACCGAGGTGTGGCACCGATACGGCGGAGGAGGCCCGCCCATGAAGGGCGGAGGCGGCCTGAGAGCCCAAAGGAGCCAAAGGCTCGTCTTGAAAAACGGGGTCCGGTGCCCAAAGGCCCAAAGGGGCCCTTCAGATCTCTCAGATCTTCTTAACATGGCTTTCAGGACATCTGGAATGCTACTGATTCGCTGCAAAGCTCCTTCATAGCTGCGGGGTGGAGAGCGCGCTGGGCCTATTGCACTATCTCAAAACTCTGCAGCCTTTATGCTTAACTGCAGGGCTGCGCAATGGTATGAAAGTCACGGCCTTGTGACTTCCAAAGACAGACGACGCACTTTGGGCTCCTGTCTCAATCAAAAAGCTCGACAGTTTCAGAATGGCTGCTACAGGCTCCCGTGATGAGTTTGGGAACAGAATTCCATGCAGGACTGATGTGGAACCTGTGGCATTTAAAGCTGAGCTGAGGGCCCTCTGCCATCAAAATGCGGGGGTGGCCCCGGACCTTTCAACATGCTTGCATCATGTCTCTAGCCCTAGGTCTGACGTTGCTCTTGATGGGCGTGTAGTCAAGCCATGCCCGATTACTGAACAACGCGCATCTCGTGAAACAAATGCTTACCTGATCCTCACTCGATGTGTCTGTCATCTTTAATTTAAGCCAAGCCGGAAACAGAGTAGCCGCTGCTCCAGAGTGTCAACATCTTGCTGCTCTCGTGTCCACGTCTTCGAGAAGGGGTAAAGTTGAGACTTCAAGCTCAAGATAGAATCGACAATCTGTGCGCATTATAACACTTCCTCAGCGTCTGGGTTTTGCGGTAGCTCGGTCATACTCGGTTTTTTGTGTCATTGCCTTGTTGGGATCTCGAGATACACTGAAACCCCAAACCAAGCAGGTGCTCGAGCCCTACTGCTCTTCGGTGCTCCGGAGGTCGAGGGCGCCGCCATAGTCGAAGGGTGGCCTTTCGCCCAAGTCCGAATTCTCAAAAGCTTTGGACACTTCTTGGGACTTCAGGCGTTCCATGTTCGAGAAATCGGAGAATGGAATGGCAACGGGATCAAAAAATGGTTGCTGTTGCTTGGCTCATGGATCCGTCATGTCTTCGAGCTTCGTGTCGTTTATTTGTGTCTCCATTGTGCTTCGACATGCCTACTTCACACATGCCAAAAACTTCCTTTGTGCCCTGTGCACTAATGATTCAGCTCTCTCTCGTTCTCTCTCTCGCTCTCTCTCTATCTCACTCGCGCTTTCTCTGCTCCAGGGCATGGGGGATGTGCGAAATCGACCCCCGTAGATTAGGGCCTTGTCGGGACATGGAAGCTTGTTCCGGGTCACGATTGGTTGTACCAGGTATGATAACTCGCCTATGGCGGATAAGTTATTCCCCGAATCAACTCACACATGACATCACATGATCCAATTGTCCCCAGAAGTCCCCGCAGGCGTTAAAGGAGCTGGACAGATGCTCTAAAATAAGAACTTGCCGATCACCAGCCCTACAACTAGGTCCCCCAATCTGTTGGCTGAGGGTTAAGCAACTGAAAAAAATTCTGCTAGTTTGGGTCTAAGGGAAAACTGAAGAAAGGACCAATAAGGTTCAATGTTCACAGCAAAGGAGACGTGTCGTACAGACGACGTCGTGTGCTATCGGCTCTGTTTGCTCATCATAGGCCATAACTCATATAAGTCCATCACTGCCACAGGGTCTGACAGATGACGACTAACATAACCTGCTAGGAGGACATTCGACTTTATGACGTGTCACTGGTGAATAACGCGGTATTCCTGTCAGTACGACTGTAGTAGGTAGGAAGGCAGTAGAAAAAAAAAACCTCCAGCTTGAGATATCCCTTTGAAATATCCCGTGTTGGCTCAATGGCAGGTTCACTTCGTCTTTTCAGATGTGGTTTCCCCAGCGTAGCAGTCGTCATTTAATCATCGATGTTCTGGCCACCATGTTCCCCATCATTCTGGGTCTGGGTCTTTTCTCGCCCCTGCGTTCAGCAAGTTGGGGTGCGAAAAGCCGTCTATTGCAGGGGCTGTCGTTAGACCCCTCATTGGCACCTTCCTCCAAAGCATGTCATGTGCTTTTGCCCGGAAAATGCGGCACTTCTCCACAAGGAAGACTCGTATACCCCGATGCAAGCTGGTTGCCCGGGCCGTGGTGCCGGTCCACCAGCAACCCACTTGGTGGAACGACGGGCTCCACGGCATGCTCAAGGATGCACCTGCAAATTTCCCGAGCTGATTGCACGGCTGCCTCCAGTGCTTGAGGAAGCTGCTAACTGGGCAGAGCTCCACTTCAAGTAGTTGTACTTCTGCCTGAAGTCCCCAGCATGAGGAGGAGTCTCCGTCGCCAGGTTGCGTTCATGTCCCCTTGCTGCCTTGCGAAGCCGGGCGCGACGAGGGTAAGTGCCCGGGCCATGTGTTGCAGACTTGGCGCGCTATCCACAGGAGTTGTCCACTGTTTCTGTCTCTCCCAGAATGGTTTGTAGAATTCGCGGCAGTCGCATGAAGACGGCTGGTTTCCGGTCTGTTCAGCACCGTTCTGGAGACTGTTCTGAAGCCATTGGAACACAGGGACATGTGTCTGTGCTGGCACGGGCCAGTTCCATGAATCCCACGACTGTATGTTGTTGACTGCGCGTACTCACCTGGCTGGTCTTCGAAGGCTGTGTTGGTCAGCGTTATGGAGCCTGTCACTACTGCTGCCTGTATGTTGTGACGCTGCCAACTTCCTGGTTTCCCTTGACGTGATTTTACGACTGCAGGTTCTACGGTGCGGGTGGGGGGTTGGGTCTGCCGGGTGGCTCTGTGACTTTGTTGAGGTGTGTTGGTTGGGCTGGGGGTGGGTGTCCGACACCTGCTCTTATCTGCAGGGTGACGGCAACGACTGCCATCCCAGACGTGGTCTGCCAAGCTCGCGCCGAGTGCTCATCTTGAACATGGTCAGGACGCACCAACAACAGCCAATCCACTTCCCGACTTCCAATCCGCTGTTCATGTGTGCGTAAGCAGCAGTGCGTCAAGCAACCATGATGTGTAGAGGGTGACTTGCTGCGGCGTCCAGAAGGCTTGTCGCAAGGCCAGTGAGCGTTCCAACCGCCGGAAGACGTGACTCAAGGCTAAACCTGGACATTCAGTGTAGCCAAGTTGTTTCCACAGCTGGATGAGCCTTCGCATTTCAAACCTGCCACGATCCTCCCACTTCGTCCTTCTCTGAGGTGTAAACCTTCCAGTTGTACGTGGCGACGGCGTAAGGGCTCGTGGCCCAGACCCGCACCGGCGCCCGGGTCTCCCCAATCATAACACGCATCTCTGGAGTGGGGGAGAAGTAAATCCGACCTCCGTTCCATTATGTAGAATTTGCTTCGCATCGTAAGAAGCGAACAGATCCTAAAGGGCGAGTCCAGTTCAGACAGCTGGTATTCGACATCGTCACATGCTGCACTTTCGGAACTGATCTGGAATACATTGGTCGGATGCTCACTGATGTCATAAGATGTCATCATCGCTCTCGAACAAACAACCATTCGAGATTTGTTTCAGAAGGGCTGTGACAAGTTTTCTGCTTTGTCGGACGGTTTTCCGAATGGTGGACAGCGGAGCTCATGCATCCTTTTCGACACAGGTGTCAAAAAAGTTAGTCTGTCTGCTTGATAGGATAAGCGGTTTGCGGCCCAATCTTCACCATTCTGGTCTTCCATGATTGCCTTCAGCAGACTCTTCCATCCCTGCGCACTCAATCGCTTTGTTGGTACCTCAGGCCAAGTATCTCCACCATCGAGAAGTGCTCGCTGAGCCTGCTTGGTTGTGCGTGCTTGGCACATGCACGTCCTGTGTGAGCGAATCTCAGTTGACAGGTGCAAGTCTTGAAGGTCACGACATCAGGAAAGTGGATCTTTGATCGGTCTTGCCGTGCCACGCGCCACGCAAGCAAGAACACCTCTATAAAATCAAGGCAGAATGATGCTGATTGGGCCGAATTCCTTTCACCAATGTTGCTTGGGTAAGAAATTGCGAACATCACCTGACACTTTTACCAACTTCTCGGTCTGAATCCCTGCTGCGAGGTCTCCAAACATTTGACCTCTGCATCCTCGGAGGTTCCTGCCACGTATCTGATCCCAACTGGGCGTACAGGTCTGCGGACCTGATCGAGGGGTCGGTGTGAAGCAGCCATTGAAGAAGAGGCTTCATGAGTGATCCTGTTGTGGGGAGCCACACGCACATAGGCAAAGAGGTGCTCATACCAGCATCTACTGACCACCCCATCCGGAGTCGCAGCGTGCTCCTCCGACAGACACGTCCAGTCCAAGAAATATCTCGCCGATTTGCAACACTCTGGGTTTGCTGTGTTGAGCTGCCAAGTACCAAGCAGAGTACATGCATTTCTGCAACAAGAGCCACAACGGAGTCTGTTGCTAACCAAACGATTCGTCAATTGTGTCCCGTTAAGATTTAACGGCCGCAAAGAAGAGCGAACGGTCAATTCTCTTGCCCTCGCAACACACATGTATGTTTGCCCTCAGGGTCAGGGACTTCCGTCCATGAGCTTTCGCAGTCGTAACCGTCGCGACTTGCAATGCTGCTGACCCTGTAACAGGTCCAGTACAGTGAGCGCTATGCCGCATGGAATGTCTTGAGCAGAAATGGCAACACGAAACATGTGCTTGAATGATGGAACTCATCTTCAGCACATCAAACAAACGCAACGGTCTCCCTTCGTGCAATGCATATGTCAGCTCCAACTTCGGAATGTCGTTTCTGTGACGTTACAACACACTCACTCTCACTCACTCACTCACTCACTCACTCACTCACTCTCTCTCTGTCTCTCCCTCCCCCCCTGTCCCACTTTTCTCCCACTCCATTTGCCTCTGCGCATCGATAGACCGAGATAGGGTCCGGGGTTTGCATCTGGGTTAGATTTTAAATTTTAAACATCGCGTGAAGATTGTTGAAGAGCCGATGAGCCCAAAGCCGAACACGCCTATGTCCTGGCGGAATTGGCGGCCCGTGCATCTCGGCGCCCGGAGGCAAGACCTGGGTGTCGGCACAGCTGTAGGACACCGGGATGGAGGAAGTCTGATTAGATAGTTGGCAGTTGGAGTGCTCGTGTGGTTGGGAGTTACATTCGCAAGAAAGGCAGTGTTGGTGGAAGGAAGCTTCAAGAATATGTCCCGCCATTTATCCATCTTCGGCATTCTCTCCTTGACAAGTCAGCTTCTCTTACCTCGCCCACCGGATGGGAAGTCTAAAGTTAGCAGCAGCTTTAAATGACAACTGACCTTGACAACCGAAACCTGGCATCCTACGTCCGGGGGCCTAAACACTCAGAGATCGAACCATTGTCCCCCTGAAGCACACAGCAGCAGCTCTTTCTCCGGCAAATCTTCGACCCGTCTGAACTTTGACCTCACAGCGCCGAAGCAGCTCACTCCTCGTCATCCTGCGGCTACGACGGGAAGGATTTGCTGTTCTTAATTTTCGGAAGCGACAGCTGCTCTCCATACCCAAGCATGGACCGAACCCCATAGTTGGGCTTCGTCCCAGGGACTAGTGACTGGTGCTGTTCGTGGTGCGCTGCCAGGTGTCGCTGGCAAGGCTTTCAATGAGCAGAGGCTGAGGCTGAGGGATGCTCAAGCCAAAAAGAGTTGGGCTCACGGAGACTACCTAGCCTACCTAATCTACCTCACCTACCGAACCTACCTGACCTACCTACTACCCTGCTGACTTAGCTGACCTAACCTGCCTCGCCTACCTAACCTCTGCCGAACCTACTAGCCTACCTGGCCTACGATGACCGCTCTCCCTACTAACCTAGCACCTAACACTGAGCCACCTACTAACCTGCCTTAACCTACTAACCTGCGTGCTACTCCGCCTGACCTACTCAACTGCAACCTACTGGAATGCCTGGCCTACAAACCTACCTAACATACCGGCCTACCAACCTTCGGGATTGAGGCCCCAATGGATTGCGCAGGTCTCTGCACCAATGATCACTCCAGAAAGCTTGTCTGAGATCCGAATGCATCAGACCCTAGCCGCACAGCACAGTAGGTTTCAAGCATAGAGCTGAGATCAGCCGTGCAGCTATTACGGTAGTGAAAAACAAGCTTCCAGCTTCCTGAGGCACTCAAGCCCCAATCAACATAATCAAACATATTCAAGTCCAACACCGATACCCCGCATCCTCACCGCAACGAGCTAGCCGTCTAGCCCACGCGCCATCCGAGTGCAGTCCTCGCCCTCGGCCTCCTTCTTCTCGGCGGCCTAAAGGAGCCAAGGAGCTGCGGGGTCGGAGAGACGTTTTAAGGGCGCAGGGTGAGCATCCACAGCTCGATGCATCGAGCCTGAGGGCTAGGGCGGCGTAAGAGTTTTTTGTAGGGGTTCGGTAGGGCCTCTCCCTCCGACGCTTGCCACTTTCGCAACATACATTATGCTCCGGAAGATCAGCAGAAACCCTGCTGCATGACACCACATTCGTGGCACGAGTGCACCTATTTCAGGTCCTCTTCGGCCGGCCAGTCCAAATCGAAACACAACCTCACCCGCGGCCTTCTTGGCAGCATCAGCCGCTGCGCGGGCTTCGAACGCCTTCATGAGAGTCTTGTAGAAAGTGTCGTCACCTGGGTGGTCGAAAATTGCAAACACCAGGCAAGTGCAAAGATCTCGCATGAGGTCTGCAATACTACTGATCCAAGCCCAAATGACATGAACTTTACCCGAGCTCGAGGGGATCTCAATGCCACGCCGCAAACCCTGTGCTCGGAGTCCTGGTGTCCACAGTCTACATGAAGTTTTGCAAAAGTGTGTGGCAGTATAATTCCTTGTGCCGCGACCTCCTGCTACAATCTCAACTCGCACATGCTGTAACCTTGCAACATGCAATAACTACAAGAACATCACCCTGTGTCCGACAGTGTTCAGGCCATAACCTCAAAACTCAAAACCCACAGTCTCGGACTTCGTCTCTGAGGCTAGAGCCCTTCTTGTTCGTCTTGTTGTACTTCTTCGACTCTTCAATGCGGGCCTTCTTCTGCTTCTGCACCTTTTCGGCAAGGCCTATGTTGGGGTCCTATTCGCTTGGGGAACTCTGAGCTGTGCTGACTGTCGGGCCAGCCTGCACGCAGATCCCGACAGAGAAAGGCCGGACTCACACGTATGTAGAATCCGACAACCATCCCTGCAAAGCCCTAGCCCCGCTGTGCCCTGACCCCTGAAATTAATTTCCCCTGAACACACTTGTAGACGCCACCACCCCGCCGCTTTAAGGCCCCAAAAAGCTTGGCCTGGCCTCGTTGAATTCGGCAGTGCCCTTCTCGGAGCCTCGGCTGCACAATGTCCACAACTTCGACAATGAACATGCGTTGAATCGCGCGAATTTATAGCTCTCTTCACCTTGCCAGGACGATCTCACCAACCTAGTGACCCAGTGCCCCATAACCCGCAAGCCGTTGAGACACATCAAAAAACCCTCGTGCTCCGAACTCCGCAAAACCCTAACACCCTATCGTCAACATGGAACCGCTGCCAGTCATACGACTGTTGGCCGCCGTTTCATTCGATCACGACAACACGTTCTAACACTCTCTATGTCTTTCGACATCTTCGGAGCTGTGCTATGCCTTGCCAAAGCTGATGTCGCCAGGCAGCTCTTGCCGGCCTTCGCCTTGCGCTCCGCGGAGCCTGCAGGGCCAAAGTTCGTTGGTGATTAGCTTGAATCTTGAGACCTCCCAGACCTGCAAGCCCGTGGAGTCCCAAGGCCACTCGATTCGAAACCGAGTAGATCCTAGGCTGCGCCTGTAAAGCGCACCCTGCAAACCCGACCTGGATTCAGCTCCTCCATGACCTCCTTGCTCTTCAGGGCATTCCTGGAAGCTTAAAGAAGACGCTGATTTCCCCGAGCTTCAGATGGGCCGGAGACCGAAGCAGACAGGGGCGTCCAAACTGTAGGACAGCAACAAGGTCTGGATTAGTTCAGGGAAGTTGTTGAGGGCAGTTGTAGAGCGAGGGACTTGGTTCTTTCCTCAAAGCACCTTAACCTGTGACCAGAAATTCCATCAAAAAGCACCTAAAGACAGAAACCTGAGCTGGGCCTCTTCTTGCTGAAGGTGGGGGGCTCGATCTTCGGACGGAGAACGGACTGCACCTGCTGCTGGATCGCAAGGAAGCAAACTCTGCAGTGCCCAAAACGACTGATGCCCCTATGCGCCGTTTCTGCCTCAGACCTTCCTGGCGACACTTTCACAGACCAGCCTCACCTCACGCTCAGCTCCAACTCCAAGCGCTTAGACACACCAAACACCACTGCACCGGACACTAACAACAAGGTCAGCAGGCAAAGCTTCTCGAGAGTGAGATTCACCCTCAAACCCACCTCAGTACTGTTGATGATGCGGGCCAAGTCCGCGTTGGCCATGGCAGCCCGCGGCAGGGTGTAGCCCTTCCTGAGGAGAGTCGCGGCTTGCAGACCAAAATCCGAGCCCCCTGGAAGATCGCTGGCTCCGAAACCTTCACCCTTCACTGAGTCACACAGCCCTGCGGCCCTGCGGTTTCGCAGCGACTTCAGGGTTTCGGTCTGATGCCAAGCAGCTTCAACGGCGCACCGCCCTTTCGGGTGCCGTAGATGGCGGAGAGCCTGGTTTTGCGTTCTGCCCCGGTGAAGGCTCTCGAGCGCAGGGGAAATGTCTGAGTTTAGGGATCGTGCACCGAATACTTGGGGCCTACGGAGAAGGATCCTGAACAAAAAGAAGCATCGCCATGTAGCGAAACACCGGGCAAATTCGATTCGAGCGCCTCTTGAAGGCGCTCTCGGTGAAGATGAGGAAGCGGCCGAAAGCGCCACCTCCGCAGAAAGACAGAAAGCGAAGCGGAGCGCGGGCTTTGGCGGGATTGGGGGCATTCTGGGGCTGGCGAAGCTCCGAGCAATTAAATACGGTCGACAGCCCCTCAACGCTGTCTGCCCGGCCTGGAGCCAAACGCAGCAGGTTCAGGCGATCCACCTAGAAAGCCCAGTGAAAGCAGCCGGCAGATGCAAGCATCTGGGTTTACCATTGGACCATATTAGACCAGTGTCACCCCGAGCCCCTTGGGTTTTGCATTTCGGGACCTGGCAAAATTGAAATGGAGCTTGGAATCGACAATCGAAACAGCTTCTCAAGGCTGGCAATCTACATGGGCCGTCTCCACACCCGGGACGTTGCGCATGGCACGGACGATGCCATTGTCCTCCGATCACAACATCAGCTCATGCAGAAGACAGATGGATATTCCAATGTTGTGAAAACAGCTGAGGAGTGACTTGCAGAGAGAGGCGCGCTCATTGATGCGTTTAGCAACCCAGCTTGGCAGTTTGCCGCCTTTTTACTTGGGCCTAGGCCTAGTACCCTCTAAAGGACTCAAAGACTTCTGCCCGTCCTCGTTGTAGATGACCAGGGGTCCCAATCGGCGCACAAAGCGACGATTCCTGGCCTTGCCCTTGCCTGAGATGTATCAAGAGAGCAGCGATAGCAAGCACTGGGACCATGACTGAAACTCGATGATGCTCACTGAACTTGCCCTTCATGCTTGTGAAAAAAGGTCGCAATCGCGAACTGAGAAAACGTAGCACGCCAAACCCTTAACTGTTGGCTCTGCTTGTCGAGCCCTGAATTCAAGCATGCGGAATTCTCCCCCCCCCCCTCCCCGCATTTCTGCAACCAAGCCGCCCGCACGAATCTTCTTGGAGTCCAGGACCTACCCCGGAAGGATTTTTCCGTTTTCAAGCGGGGCTGTGCCGCAGGAGGGATTGGAGCTCAGGCTCTCGGCCTGAATGACGCCGAGCATTACAGATTCAATTTATCCCACACTTCCGCACACTAGTGAGACGAGACCTAAGAAGCCCCGAGACCTTCTGGAGCTCCTCGCCGCAACCGAGCTTCTTCAGGGACTCCACAGCCTTTATCAATTTGTGGCTTCGGACGTTCAGCTTCGGTCTCACGGGATTCGGGGATTTCGAAGTTCGCTTTGCTGTTCGAGGCCGTTTGTTGGACGCCGGTTCGGATTTCGAGGTGCGTGGGTTGCGGGGTGGAGGGGCAGCAGCAGATTTTTCAAAGTCGTCGTGTGCAGGCTTGGCCGACAACACGACCTGAACCCATAACCAGCGGCACCCGGGATGAAGTTCCTCGATTCCTGTTACTCCAAATTTGTGGTGTGCCTCTACAAGTCCCTTCAAAGCCCAACACCACGAACTCGGCATGCCTGCTTGGTCTTCGTCACGGACTCGAGGCCTAGACTGGGTCAGGAGGCACTGGGCCCTGGAACATCATGATCTGCGAGGTTTTAGCCGACAAGTGCGGCTGGAAAACTCGGCACCAGGGCTTCGGAGTGCCTTGCCGGGTGTCGGGTCCAGCGCTCAGCGCGAAAATTTTTTTCAAGTCCTATATGAAGCTTGAATACTGATGTTGAATGGCGATCAAGTCCAACCGCAACCTACTTTCAGGTCCCACGCACACGTACGAATTCAGGTGCCTCAACTTGGAACCCAAGATTCGCGTTCCGAGACGCTTACTCCAATCCCCATGCCTGACACAAACAGAACAGATAGCCGAAATCGCAAATCTTAAGCCTTCTTAGCATGAATTACTGTTTCAGAGGAGTTGCGCTGCATTGGCCCTGACTCGACTCGGACTCCATCTCTCGCATTCACGGCAGCAAAAGCACTTAACCCTAGCCCTAGCAAGGCCACAAGACTTAACTACTTCGGTAAAAGATGTTCGAAAACAATCCGAAGTTCCAGCCCCAAAAGTGACAGCACCGGAAGTCTGAACGCCCGAACTCCCAGCCAAACCGAGTGGCCGTCGCTAACCACAAGAGGCAGCTCAGCGACCTGAAAGAGGACGGCGCACCAAGAACCGGAGCTCGGAGCTTACAGCTTCAATGATGTCGAAGCAGGACCCTGGTCCATTCTGGAAGACGAAGCTCAAGATGGTCAGAAGAAGATGGTGGAGCTCTAGGGTTACCCTGCAGCTTAGAGCTTATTGTACGCTGCCTTAGATGCTGCATTCCGGAACGTGAGCACCCTGAACATAACACTGGGAGCGATGATTCAACATCGACTTCCAGCCGAGGCTGTTTCTTGATTTCGGCTACAGATCTGGAGGATGTTACCGGTAGTAATACAAGTAGTGTGGTGGAGTGGTGAAGCATAATGATTTAGGCCTGATGTAATGATGTAAGACGCCCGTCAGTGGGGGCATGAACGCCGCCAGGTCCTGCTCCAGCCAGGGCTCTCCTACCTTGTCCATCTCTGTCTCTCTCTCTCTCTCTGTGTCTCTGTCGCTCTCCACTCCATCTCTCATACTGAGCTCGGCGACCTTTCCGATCTTGTGGCCGCGGGCCATGACCTCAAGGCTTCAACGGTCGGAGGACTTTGGGATTTTTTGCAGAAGCAGATTGGGACCCAGTGAGTCTCAAATGATCGCAAGCTTCTCAACCCTCGAGATGTTCGTTCCTGTGTCAGTGTCATTCCACAGACTGGGGGACGTCATCTGTTGGCTGAACCGGCCAGCTCTGCTAAACTACACAAGTATCTTCACGGAGCTATATAGCGTGGCAACGCAGCCCATGCTAGCAGGACTGAAGTTGCCGACCACACAAGGCTATCCTGGAGAGCACCCTAGTAATTATCGCGTCAAGCGAGGCTACGGGAACTCGTAGTGCGTGCAACCCCTCTACCCCGCGCTCCCCTCTACCCCGCGATCTTCAGGTCTGCATGTCGGCTACTGCCTATGATCATGACGCTTCAACAACAAGATTAACATGAGCGAACCAGGTTGCTAGCCCTCCATGATCACAACTAACTCTACTCTCTACTCATTTCCACACGCAGGAAATTGAATCGTGCTCAGGGTTTCTGGACTTTGCATGTTTACCGGGGCTCCGATGAAAGAAGGTGGTGTTTCTTTTTGACATGCAAAGTCCAGAACAAATCTCCGAGCTAGATTCCAGATGCTGCTGAGACACTAGTGGGGGCAGGCTTGAGGCTGCCAGGGCAACGGCCACGGCGTGACGCTTCTTGGTCACGTTCACCTAGAATTTGGATGTCCAAAGGCGGTGCTGGCTTTGCCTCGCTTTTTGTGAGAGTTAGGGTCTGGATGCGGAAATTTAGGATCGGGTGGAGGTGAGGGTGCACTGGAAGCTTCGGCCACTCCTTGTCTAGTACTTTGGGACGCCGTTAATGTACTCTTCGATGCGACCGTTTGGAAACCACGTCCAAAAGGAATGAATCACGGTTTATACTGAAGCCCACGAATGAGCTTCGGTACCTGGAGCAGATCCATTATCCGACCCACGTCACTCGGCGGTGCCAGCGGCGCCAGATGCGTGTCGGGTTGAACATGCCACCGCCACGGGCCTGAATAACCGTCGGGCTTCACCGTGTGGCTTAGGTGGCTTGGGTCAACAGGACCTTTTCGCAGGCTGCGCACAAGCTTGAAACTTGAGAGAATCACACCTGAGAGCTTTCTCAGACTGAGTCAAGTGCGAAATAGCTAATCCGCAAGCTCAACCGGGCTTATAGAGCTCCCGGATCCAGCCACAACCAGCACTTTGGGTCTATCGGTGAAGGCGCCTGGTTGCCGAAAGCCGCCTGGCCTGCGCGATGAGTGCCGCCACCAGGGGCACGGGGGATACCTGCCCAGCTTTTCGACGGTTCGGAGCTAAGGTCGTACTGTAACCAGTCCTCGATAGCGCGAACTCTAAAATGCGCATCCCAGTTTCCAGAACCCAACCCGGCTTTCATCCTCTAGATTGGACCCCGAAGACCTGGAACACTCCCACAATCCGCGACCCTACCCCGAGCCCCCTGAAGCCCGCTGCAGCCACTGAAGTGGGGCCGTTCGAACAAGTTTCAACACTTCCTGCTTGAAGTGAACCCAACCATGTAAGCACTTGTGTGGGGGGACCCAATATGATTCTCGGTTCTAATATTTTCGGTTCTGTTCCACAGTATTTAGCATATCATACATCAGGATGGTTGAATCGTACAAACTTCGCACTTCTTCTAAGAATAACATCTATCCCCCAATCTGACTCGACCCTCGATCCATCTCGTTCGATTGGAGCAAGGTATCCGGTTCATCATGACGAGTTGCGTGCAACAGCACGGCCCGTGCACCAAGACTCGGCAGCAGTGTCGTAGCCCGCCTGTTGGGACCAAAAGTGCCCATGGCAAGGGATCGGCTGTTCAGAGTTAAGACCGGAGCTTAGGACCTCGAGTTTCGGAATCTGGGCGTGTTCAAGATGAGGGACTGGGGTACAGACTCAGACACTTCAACTTCCCCAGCCTACGATTTGGAGAGCCGGTGCTGGGCCTGACCTGCAAACGTAGAACCTGTGTTGTGGAATGTTGCACCTCCAGCTGACTCCAGCCAGACGATCGTCACAAAATGAGCGAAGCAACAACCCTTCGTCGCCCTGCATCCAAAAAGCGACGGCTCGACTTGCCCCCTGGCCACCCGCAGCTCTACGAATCCAGCCTTGGCGCTGACTGCATATGCCTGACGCTTGTTCTTTGCCATGTCGCGGTGGACCTCGCAGCTTGAAAGGCGTCGGTTCAGAATACAACTTAGAGTTCGGACTCTTGCTGAGCGAGCTTTAGCTCTCTGTCTGGATTTCTGTTGCCAACATCACAAGGCACGCGTTCAAAGGAAAGGGTCCACTCCGACACATTCGCAACACCCTTTCCACCCAATCGACCCAAAGCTTCAAACCTAAGGAGGAACAGCACCACAGCGGGGCCCTGAAGGGAGGCACGGCATGTCTACCGTTGTTTCGCAACATTTGCAAGCTCCAATTGTCAAAGAAGTATCGCGCTTTGTCGACCCTAAGCAAACTAACTGACGAAGCAAAATTCCGAACGGAGACGGTGCAGGCAACGCTGTTGCGGAAACCTATGATCACGGACGATATCAACTAGATCAAAGACAAAGAACCACACCCTGCCCAACCCGGACCACCAACAAAACTCCCGCCTCGCGGACCAGGTCAGGCCGCAATGGTGAGGTCCTGAGCAGAAGAGAAAAACTATGAGGGATGTTGCGTTTGCGGCTCCGAAAAGCCTCAAATAAAAAGGCGTCTAATATCACCCCAGGGTATACAATGCACCCACCAAACCTCGTCCAATAATCAGGCTCCAATCATTACGCCGTAAACCTTTTCTACAACACGATGAATCCCTCTAGAACCCTTGAAGGCGCCCTTGACAGCACGCCTGCGCAACCCTAGGTTCGGAACACCCCAAGTCCTAAACCCTAAGACCCAAAACCCAAACCCTAACTGAACATCCAATATCTGAAGACACATGGGACGCTCACCAACGATATTTAGGAGGGTGTGGGACCGTGAGCCCGCGAACTGAATCGCCAAGCATGTGGTGCAAGCCCCAATCCTTGAATCTTAAGAAGAATCTGTGAGCCCTGAACCCGAGTCAGCAATAATCCGAGTCTTCAAAATCCAGATCCTGAACTCGAAACTTGTCGCGGGGTGAAGGACTTGGAGGTTTTCGGGTTTGAGAGTCTGGACAATCCCTGCAGTCTCTGAAACTGTGCAAGTGTCAGCACATGGGGCATCACGACCGTGCCCGCCTGTCCCGACGAGTTTTTGCTTTGGCACGCTGACAGAAAGAGGTTCGGGTGCACTGCAGGATCGACAGATGCTTCTCTCATCTCTCTTTACGTCTCGGGGGTGTTGAACCGGGGCGTGACAAGGAGCACTGAAGCATGAGGAGACGCCACAGCGGTTTACAGAACTCCCTCAGCATAACATCTCTTACCACCTGGGGGCCTAGAGCGAGAAAACGCCGTAAGAACTGCCACGATGTGCTCACACCACATGACCAAACCAAATCATTCGACGTTCCAAGAAGTAGATTCCCAGAATTTCTCTGTTTCCAGCAAGCATGAACGCAACCTCAGGCCTGAGCCTTAAGCACGCAGCGATATCTAAATACCAAGCGTTCATATCTGACCTGAATCGCCAATCCCCAGGTGCAAAGACTCAGCTCCACCTGCGAGCCCCTTAGAGCCCGAACTCTGGGAGTGCCTTTTCGGAAGGGTTCTCAAAGTTGAAGATGGACACCAGCGGCCTGTCTTTCAAAGGAGGTGCTCCGGAAGGGTCCTTCGCTTCAGTGTTTCGGATTCGGGGTCTTCGCCGGAAGCTGCCATCTGGAGGCTTGTGCCTTAGCCCGGCTTCACCCTTTGACCTCAACCCCTGAAGCATCAGCTGAGAAAGGACGGCTCCCAAGTCAAATTGCTTGCTGGAGGGATGTTGCAGAGCTACATGGATTTCTGGTCTACTTTGCTGTGTTGCGGGCTCGGGCATGAAGCCATCTTCACGGTGCTGATTACCCACATTTGAAGGCAATGGACATTTGGGTGGCTTCGACAAAGCCCTTTAAGGGCCTGGGGTGCCCAGGGTGTTTCTGGAGTTTGCCGGAGTACGTGAGGCTCAAGCTGGGCTTGTGACTGGCAATTTGAACCTTTGCGGTAGACATCTGAAGACTGCCAAAGCGTGCTTCCCTCAGCTTTAGCATATCTCCCCGCAGCGAGAAATAACTCCGGCCTTGCAGTTGCCATGACCTGAGGGGGGACGTGTGTCAAGAGCGAGGGCCGAGACCGTCAGTCTCTGAAAATGCCAGGTTCACTTGAAACATCCCGGCATGTTTCGGGTTCACCAGCTTTCAGCATATTCCGGTGTATAAGACAAATCGTGCAAGGTTGGCCTTACCGTCGGATCGGGAAGCTCAGAGATTGGAACGGGGGTCGGCGCTGTAAGCTTCCGACATGTTTCGGGTTATGCATTAGACCCACATCTTCAAGTCTTCAACAAACACGGCAGAGAAGAATGTTGGAGGATCCGTGAGCCGGGAAGTGTTCAAGGCCCTAGCTAATTCGAGATCGGTGTGGAAAAGTTCCCTGAAGAGGGTCTCAGTCAAAAATAATTCAAACCGCAGACACTCTCGCAGACGCAGACCTCAGGCCCATGCGGAGCGTGGTCCAGGTACTCGCGAAGAGGGTGCTTGCAGAGTACTTGAGATGCCGGGTCTTACCCTGTCCACGGTTCGAGCCGGAACAGCAGCGCGAACAGGACTCGAAGCCCACCCGGACTCGTCCCAAAGCCTTCTTACGATCTTCCCACGATGCACCAAACTGTCTCCAGAAGTATTGAAATTATGCAAGTCCAGAATCAGAATTCGTGGTAGTAGGCCCTGAGCCCAACAGGGAAGCATCATGTGATTTGAGCTTCTTGACTGTCTCATGCTCGCTTCGACAGCGGGCGACACAATTTGCTCGTTACCTTCTTGCCTGCAGCCGACTTCACTTTGTGCGGGCAACCTCTACCCCCAGGTTCAAGCTCTAGTTCTCCGATTTCCTCAATGGACATCGCTGGTGAAGAGCTGCTTTGACATGTGCAAAATGACCTTCCCGCCTCATACAGAAAAACACTCGGGGCATGGAAAGCCTGTTCATAGCTCAGGGTGTATGTAGAGCAGAGGTGTGTAGAGCATGGCGGGCACGCGGAGTCTAGTTTTAGTCCGGGTGGTGGGGTTTCAGATGTTCAAGTCCAGGGGTTCCGGCTGGCATCGTCACCCACGTATGCCGACTCACCGCAAGATCTGCAGTGCAGTCGATGGGCAGCGCCACGACCTGGCTGATCTCTTGAATCCCCAGAACTCCGCCACGCAAAACGTTGCTTGATTCTTTTGGGGTGCAAAGACATGCAGGCACATTGTGTAGTGCACGACCAGGCTTCTCCCTTCTTCTTGTTGCACCTTCAGCCCCGAAGGCAAGTCCGAACTTGCCTCCAGAGGCAACCCTTCGATGCCGACCCGAAAGCCCGGGTGTGCCAATTTGGCAAGCACATTCCATGACATATACATATACATATATATATATATATATACATATATATATATATATAGATATATAGAACAAATGCACTGGGCTGCACTTGTTTGCACCCCACCCCGACTTACTCTGTCGGGATTCTGCCGTTATTCCGTGTGATGATTGCAGGAATCTCGACAAATCCCTGAAGGGAGAAGCCCCTGACCATGAGAAGACCTGCTGCCAAAACATCTGTGCCTACCTCCCCATCCCAAATCGACAAAGACCGCCCGAATCGCTGAGATCCGAGCCGACTGCGGATCCCGGCCATCTTTGCCCTCTGGCCTGCGCTCCGAGGCTCAAAACTCCGACGAAAGGACCGAAAGGCTCTTGGCGTCGGAACTGCGGGCCTTGGGAGCCTTGGGGGCAGTGGCACCTTTGAGCCATGTGGGGTGTGGATTCTCAGCCGGGCCTCATCGATCTACAAGTATCAGCTAAGCGAAGCATTCAGAGCTGCAAGGTCATGAGCGGAACAAACAGCTCTGCAGGGCCAAAATGCCACATGCGTTGGGACTCACTTTGATTTGTGTCATTTCCGTTTTGCCATGATTGGACGTTGCACGAAGGAGGCCCCGAACTCCGAAATGGCGCGTCTCGTCGTCTCGTCTTGTCAGGCTTCGGGACTGAAAGAGGACCCGGCCACAGCGAGGACATCGGCCGACTGAACTTCTCCTCCACCACCGGCGCCTGCACAGCGCAGAGCGCAGAAAAGGCTTCGAGCAGCGACGGAGTGATTTTCGGGCTCAAGATTGACTGCTCTAGACTGCGTCCTAACTGATAATCCTGCCACAAGTGCAAACATGACGGTGAAGGTCCGTGGACATACATGTAGGGTTCAGGGCTTCATGCCTTCTAGTTTCTCATCGTTTGTGTTGTAGATTGGGGTGGAAAGTTCACCGACACCACAGGAGCCGAGACGACGGCAGGCAGGAGCTCCAACATATATACATTTCGGGCGGTGGCCTTGGAGCTTGTTCCCAGGCCGTTTTGTGTGCTGGTGACGAGTATGTCGACGATGGTCGGTTTCTATCAGTCATCATTGAATCTGGCAGCCTCTGGCACAGAAGATATCGCTGTTGCTCCTGTGGGTAGTGATTCTTGCCTTGCTCGGTGCTTTTATGATCCTCCGGACTGTCGCGACTTCTGTCGGTATTGTTGTTCATGCTTGTTGGTGTTGTTGTCGTTGCTGCTGCTGCTACTGCTGCTGCCGCTGCCCGCTGCCTGTTGCCTGTTGCCTGTTGCCTGTTGTCGTTGTGGTTGTTGCTGCTGCTGCGATTCTGGTTGTGGTTGTGGTTGTGGTTGCGATTGCGGTTGTGGTTCTGGTTCTGGTTGTGGTTGTGGTTGTGGTGGTCGTGGTGGTGGTGGTGCTGCTGCTGCTGGTGGTGCTGGTGGTGGTGGTGGTGGTGGTGGTTGAGGTTGAGGTTGTGGTTGTGGTTGTTGTTGTTGCTGCTGCTGCCACGCTCGTCACTCGCTGCCACGAAAAGTATGCCCCTTTCGCCGGGTTGGGGTTGGGAGGTTGGATGTCCAGCTTCGGGAGGGAGCCAAGTTCACCAGTATCTGCAGTGTTTTTGTTCTGTAATTTACAGCTCTTTCTGGTTAACGATGTTGTCGAAAACGCCGACAGATGTGTCATT